CCAGGGCTGGGAGAAACAAAGGGGGAGGTTGGGCCACCAGGATTGCAAGCTGAGGACAGGCCTGGCAGAACTGGCAGACCTCTGTGGGGAGGGGACACCAGGCTGCTGGTAGCTCAGAGGACACTGCCAAGAGGCTGGGGCCCAGCCCCCTGGAGAGGGGTCTGTGCTCTCCTGTTGGAGCCTCCAGACAGTTGCAGAGGGCTTGCTTCTAGGAGGGTGGGGATAGACTGGAGACCACCAAAGCAGCTTGTGTCCGGTGGAGGGGTGGCAGAGCAGCAAGCACACAGGAAGGCATCTCAGCTTCCTGCCTGCTGTGTTCTAGGCCCTCTGTGCGTGTCCACCTCTGGGAGATTACCCAGGAGCAACTGATGGAGGAGACCAGAGGTACAAAGTAGGATTTAGAGGATGGGTAGAATTCCTTTTTAGGGAATGATGTAACTCAATTTTGCACGTGTTCTAGAATCTAGACTAGGGGTGTCGAACTCAATCAGAGAAGGGGCCAAAATGTAAAATCCAGCCTAAATCGCGGGCCGAATGGTTTACTGAACAGTCATAAACTGTCATTGTGATGGAAACGCAGCGGAGTGCAGTGATGACAGCGCGGTGCGGGCCACATTGCAAGGCCTGGCGGGACGGATTTGGCCCGCGGGCCTTGTGTTTGACACATGTGATCTAGACTATCACCTTTACACTGCTGGAAACACTGTGTCTTCCAGTTTTGGAAATAATTAAGCACAGAGTTCAGAATCAAAGTTCCTCATTATTCTCAGCACCTTAGTCAAGGTCCCCTCTGCCCTTTTGCTAGTGTTCAGTGATAGTCATCACATAAATATAATTCTGGCTATTTTTTCTATATAGTTATTTCACACATCATATTTACCATCTCACTGATTTTAAGATGAGCTACAAAGTTACAACGCTAATTTACCAAGCTTTTTCCAACGCTACACATATTTTTCAGTTTTTCACATTAATAGGTAATGGTGAGATGAAACCACGTGTGCATATTATTTTTTTTTCTTCAGTGGACGTATTTCTGTATCCTCACACTTTCCCTCTGTGTTATTTTACCTCATGTTGAAATTACTTGCTATTCTACATCCAAATCTCATTAGAACCATCTCTGCTCAGCCTAATGTCTCCATCTTTCCACATTCTTTCCCAATCCCTTTGCTTAATTACCTTTCTACTGGATTTGTCATTACAGCCCTTATTAAGTTTTAAAAAATCGTGTTTCACTTGGTTACCTTCATCTCTACTCAGTTTTCTTAAGCTAAGAGGACCACCTCCATCAGGAATTGTTCTGTGGTGAGTGAAGCTTCTTCACCCCAGGCAAACTTGCTCACTGTACAGGCTGAATCTTAATGAAATTTGGTACTTGGACAAGCACAGAAGGCCCTGTTCCCTATGGGACATCTCTATTTTCAATAACTAGTGGCTTCTAAAAATTGGGTTTCAATTAATCGAAGCCATAATTTCTTGGATGTGTCTTTTCTGGAATAAGCCAAAAGAACAGAATATGGGGCAATTAAAAATGTTTCCCTTTGGAAAGCAACATTACATTCAAATGGATGAAGCCATTTATAAAGAAAAAAAAATTCATGTAGGATTGATTTTGCTGTCCCAGTATAAAATATATCACTATTTATGTGTGGTATTTGCTTCTTTTTCATAAAGTATTTCTCCAACAGAATTTTTAAAAAATGTTTTGCATGGAATATAGATAAAAAAATCAATGGGCATTTTATATTTTATATTTTTATTTCAGAGAGGAAAGGAGGAGGAGAGATAGAAATGTTAATGATGAGAGAGAACCATCGATTGGCTGCCCCCTGGATGCCCCACAACCTGGGCATGTGCCCTGACTGGGAATCGAACTGTGAACTCCTGATTCATAGGTCAAGGCTCAACCAGTAAGCCATGCTGGCAGGCTCAATTGTTATTTTAAAAGAAAAAACAAAGCACCACTCAATTTTAAGGCCAATGTTTATTTCAGACTTTACAAGAGATCGATAGAGTCCTCTTGCCCAGTTGTCTATTCCTGTCTCCACTATGTTATACTAGAAGCATGGTGTACAAAATTTGTGCATGGGTAGGATCCTAGGCCTGGCTGGCAATCCAGGGGCCTTCTGGCTACTGTCCAGAGCCTTTCTTCATTCCATGCTGACCCCTGCTGGTCAATGCATGCCATAGTGAATGATCAAATTCTCAGTCTCCAGAGTTTGAACTCCCAAGGGGACACTTTGAATATTAGCCTTTTATATATATAGAAGATAGTATCCAATCAAGGGCACTGAGAACAACACTCACTGGTATCCCCAAGGTAAATTCACATGATGAAGAAAACAGACTTGTAAGACATTTGTTTTCCAACAAGCCTTATCTGTTATATTATAGCATCAGTAGAGGCCCGTCGCACAATATTCATGCAAGAATAGGCCTTCCTTTCCTGGCTTCACTCCCAGCCACCTAGGAGCCGGCACAACCCCACTCCTTGGCCGCCTGGGATCTGGCAAGTCCTCATTTCTGGCCGCAGCACTGCTCCTGTAGCTCCTTCCACTGCCCCTCTCCCTCTCATAGCAGGCATCATACCCCTCCTAGCCACTCTGTGTGCCAGCATATGCAAATTAACCTCCATCTTCGTTGGGTTAATTTGCATACTCACTCTGATTGGCTGTGCGCATAGCGAAGTGATCGTTAATTTGCATGTTTCTCTTTTACTAGGTAAGATTAGGATTTATGCACCCCCCAAAGTTATTGGAATAGTTTAATGTTCAAATGCCTGCTGCTTTTTTAAAAAATATATATTTTATTGATTTTTTACAGAGAGGAAGAGAGAGGGATAGAGTCAGAAACATCGATGAGAGAGAATCATTGATCAGCTGCCTCCAGCACACCCCCTACTGGGGATGTGCCTGCAACCAAGGTACATGCCCTTGACCAGAATCGAACCTGGGACCTTTCAGTCCACAGTCCAACGCTCTATCCATTGAGCCAAACCGATTTCGGCTGCCTGTTGCTTTTTTAAAAGTAGATTTACAACAATGAACAATAAATAATGTATTTAAAATAATAGGAAAAAATTAAGTGTATCAGGTAATACACTAAATCTAAATGGACCTTTCTCTTATTTTTAAAAAAAGTTACTGTCTAATAGGCATAAAAATAAACCACAGCTCATGCTCTTTACACATCTAACTCACGACGAAGTGGTGAAGAAAAGTTGAGAGTCAGTGGCCAGGGAAAAGCACAGACAACAGGCACAGCAGTCATCCATTCTGTCGGGGACCGTGTACAGTTGGGATTGGGCATGGGCATGTTCTGAGGGCACAGTAAGCTATTGACACAAATGACCCAGACCTGTCTCCATGGGTTGGACTCCCAATACTCCTCAACTCTCAGGAATTGGATGGAGGAAATGGACATACATGAACACCTCCACACCCAGCTGCTTTTAGGAAGAGGCTCGCGTCCTCGGTTAGCATATGCACATGTTAGTGTCCTTGGTGGTTTGAAGTAGCTTGTTCATTGTGCCTCATTTGAGTTCTTTAGGTCTAGCCCGCACAGGTTCACAGCATCTCGTCCAAGAGCGTGGCCAAGTGCCCTGTTTGGACTGAGCTGTTGGCACAGTCCTTCCTTCCAGATTATCTGCACAGACAGTTCAGGCTCTGCTGTCTTCTTGACCTTCCTCCCACAGTGTTTGAAACGTTGCCATCAATTTAAAGTGGAATAGCTCCAAGATTTCTTCCTGGTCCTGGAGAGTGAGGTCACAAGAGAGCAGACATGTGGTCTCCCAGCAGGGGGCACACGTGAAACCGGCTCCGCAGCTCTGTATGTGAGTGTGTGTGTGTGTGTGTGTGTGGGTGTGTGTGTGTGTGTGTATGTGTGTAGGAGGGTGGTGGTTGTTGGGGGGGGGGGGTGGGGGAGAGGGTGTCCACACCTCTCTTCCCCAAGGATCGCAGCAGCGTCCTGAAAAATCAATTCCTCCCCAAATCAGACCCATCTGGTTTAAGATTCAATGATCATTTGTGTTCGGCAATTATTGGTTTGCAAGGGAGCGGGGAGAAGCAAATGTCTCGTTTTCAGCACCCCACCTCCAACCTCTTCTTGAAATAAAACTGGCAGAAATAAAAAGAGCATTCTGGGAGGCATTTAATAATTTAAACATTCATACATTTAAAAAAATACAAATAAAGCCGAAACCGGTTTGGCTCAGTGGATAGAGCCTCCGTCTGCAGACTGAAGGGTCCCAGGTTCCATTCAGGTCAAGGGCATGTACCTGGGTTTCAGGCACATCTTCAGTAGGGGTTGTGCTGGAGGCAGCTGATCGATGATTCTCATCGACGTTTCTAGCTCTCTATCCCTCTCCCTTCCTCTCTGTGGAAAAATCAATAAAGTATATATATTTTTAAAAAAATACAAATAAAAGGGACTCCCAGTCCTTCAAGAAGGGGAGAGGGCGGCGCAAGAGATGGTAGTGAGCCGAGTTCGGAGGGGGATACGCTGGGGCCCGGCGGGGCGCCAACGGTTAAAGGCGCGCGCCGCCCGTCCGCCCGCCCGCCCGCGGGTTGGGAGTCCCGACGAGCTGTCCTGACCACGGGCGGTGGCTCCTGGAGGTCACCGGGCCCTTGGGGCTGGGAGGTCACCGGGCCCTTGGGGCCCGCCGCCCGCCCGGCGCGCAGGTGCGGACGCGCCCACTGCCCGGCCCGCGGGCGGAGGGAGCGCGGGGCCCGGGCGCGGAGAGCGTGTGCGGCCGGGGGGCCGGGCGCGGGGCCGCTCGGCGCGGCGTCTTTTCTTCTCCTCCTCGCGGTGATGTCATCCCCAGCAGCGGCGGGGAGCCGGGCGGCGGCGGCGGCGGCGGGGGCGGCGCCGGGCGGCCGCCGCAGGTTCATGTGCCGGTGGTAATGAAAAGGCACTTGACAGCCGGCCAGGACGCACGCGAGGGAGCGCGAGCCGGCCGGACCGCGGCGCCGCCCGAGCCAATCGCCGTCGCCGGCGGCGGCCTCTCCATGGGCTGCGAGCGGGAGGAGGGGGCGGCGGCGAGCGCTACCCGCCGGGCCGCGGCCGCTCCGAGGTGAACGGCGGCGGCGCGGAGGGAGGAGAGCGGCTCGCGAGCGGCGCGGGGAGGCCGGGCGCGCCGCCGCCGCCGCCGCGATGAATTCCGCCGAGCAGACCGTTACGTGGCTCATCACCTTGGGGGTGCTCGAGTCGCCCAAGAAAACCATCTCGGACCCGGAGGGCTTCCTGCAGGCGTCCCTGAAGGATGGCGTGGTCCTCTGCAGGCTGCTGGAGCGCCTGCTGCCCGGGACCATCGAGAAAGTGAGTGTCCCCGCCCGGGCCCACTCCCCCCACGGCGGACAGGCCCCGGCCGGTGGGAGCCCGAGGCGCTGGGGAGGCCCCGCGCCCCGCTTCGCCTCGCCTCGCCCGGGATGCGCAGGGGCGCGCGGGGGCCGGGGCGCTCGCGGTGGCACCTGGTGGCCGCGCGGGGCCGGGGGGGCGCGGGGCGCGGCGGAACCCACGCGTCTCCTTTGTGCGCGGACCCGGGGACGCGGCCCGCGCGCGGGGGGCGCGCTGGCGGCGCGAGGACCCGGTGGCGGGAGTTCGGGGCGCCATTGTGTGCGGTGTGGGCTGGGAAGGGGTTCCATCCAGGCCGCGTACCAGGGGGATGACCCCAGGGGAGGCCCGGAGGGAAGGGGAGCGCTGTGCACCGCCCGAAGGGAGAGTCGCCCCTCTCCGTGGCCTGACCCGAAAACCGTGCTCCAGCGACGCGCACCGCTTCCTCCGAGGCTTTGTTTGAACCGCTTTTGTTGGTGGTATTGTAGGAGAGTTCCGTCGCCCCCCATTTAATTGACCAATTGCTATGCTTTTTTTTAAAAAAAAGATGCATTCATCAATAGCTGAGGCTGCGTTGTGAAATGATTTATTGCTCTCCCCCCCACGGAAGAATGCCTCCTGCCTCCAAGCCCAGAGGGTGGCAAACGCGCGGTTGGGAAAAAAAAAAAAAAAAAAAAAAAAAAAGCCTTGGCATTCTTCAAGGCTGGCTTAAAACTCGAGATATCATTTCCAGGTTCCTACCTGATTTTGAACAGAATCCCCAGCCCTGCAGACCCTGCTTTTCCCTTCTTCGTGACGGGTGGTTTCTTTCCCCTGGGCTGGAGGGTGAACCTTGACCTGCATCTCTGCGAGTGATTAAAGTTTGCTTTCCTCTCCCACAGCTGACAAAGCAGGGGTGAGGGGAGAGAAGCGCTTTTAAAACCAACGCGTTCCCTGTGTTTCAAAAAAGCACTACAACCTCAAGACCCAATTTTTTTTGGATCCAACACATGATCTTAAGATCCACAATTACTTAAAAGGTGTTAAAATGTAAAAATTGAAGTGCACCATGACTAGGGAAAACTGTTTAATTTTAAAAATGGGTTTATTGGTCCCAAATGCACAATAACAATTTGCTAATAAGAATATTAGGCGACTTTATAAAGTAAAATGTTTAATCTTATAAGCGTGTGCATGTCTTGGTGCTACATTTTAAAGGTCAGAAAATATTTTATTTCATTTGAATTTCACGTGCATACTAGTTTTAGGTATTTTTTCGTCCCTTGCTTGAAATGTATTTATGAAAACAGAATCTGCATTTTAGAATGAATACTTGCCAGCCTGTCCAGGGAAGAAAAAAATGTTGCTTGTAAATGAACCTGATGTAACAATAAAATTGTGATTTAAGACAGGAATAAGGAGCAAGATTTAACTTTCAAGGCACTCATCTGGATATCACAACCTCTGGTAATAAAAGACAGATGTTGAAAAGAATGGGAAATGCATGAATGCTGTTTCCCAAAATAGGCTTATATGAAATATTGTTCATTTCTAAGAGTGAAGCTTTAAGAAACTTCATGTGCTGTCTAGAAAAAAAAATCTCACTATCAATGTATGTTATTTGGCATATTAACTACATTATTATTGATTGACAGACTTCAATAACATTTTTCTTTTAAATTCTACAAAGGTTTTCTTAGAACACTGTCGTGTGCCTTTCATCTCTAACACAACAAAGACAGGAGTGAATAAAATGCTTAGCTTGCCAAAGCCAAATTGAAACAATCCAACATATTCTAAAACTAGGGTCATTTGGAAATTTCTTGTATCGAAGCGATCCCTTTATTCCCCTAGGCCCCAATTGGTTTGTTTTAGGACTGACACCATCAGTGAAAGTTGAACATGAAAGTAGCCAATTATAGACAGAGCTTCTGATTTTCTGTGGTTCAAAGGTAGGTTTTTGGAGTAAAATATTAGCTATTCTCTGCCTCTGACAAGCTTGGGGTTCAGAAGTCCCATAGCCTTTTGCACTTTCTGGGAAGAGTTATTTATTTGAGCTTTGGGATGTTTGCCTGCACACCAAATCATATAGGCCACAAAGCACACATGCTGAACAGCTTTCCCTGAATGTGGGAATGTTAGTTTTTTGTTTTGTTTTTTCTCTCTCTCTCTCCTTAAAGAGAAACATTTGGAAACTGAACTGAATATTCACATGGAATTGAAAGTATTTTAACTTTACTCCTGTTTGCCACGAGAACACACTGACAACTGGCCAGTGGGGTGTCAGCAGCCTGCAACTTAACATTTGCAAATTCATCATTTAAAACTTGGAATCATTTGAGTGGGGATACTGCATAATTAAAAGTTTTTGTGATGGCTCGGATTTCCCTTGTGCCTTTTATTAAGAAATACGCCCTAATGTGTTTCTTACATTAAGCTGATGTTCCATTTTCCAACCAGTAAAAGGCTGGAGAACCGAGAGTACGTTCATTTGGTGCAGATTGTTCTCACTTTTAGAAAGTTTTTTTTTTGTTGTTTTTTTTGTTTGTTTTGTTCAGGTTCTCCTTTTTGCAGTTCTTATATTGAAGGTGAAAGGTTGGATAGGAAAAGAGGGAATTATAGACGCAGGGAAAGGAGTTCAGAAAAGATACATTTCATGATGGCAGAGGAGTGAAAAGTGGGAGGTACAGTCCCAAATCTTCGTGGATGAGGATCCCACACTTTGATTTTTCTCAGTAACGGCCAGGATGCTTTGCTGACCCACCACACTGTTGGCTTCCCTCACTCTTCCTGTGATGAGAAATACACAAAGGCCACGGAAGGCAGTGAGCCCTGGGAGCATTGAGCTCATGGAGTTAACACTTTAAATATCCCTAGACTATGAAGTCGCAGGGGATGCAAGATACAGAAGTTTTAGAAGGTGGAACATTAATGTAAGATCAATAAAACACCTGAAAATAGCGAAATGCTGCTTGAATTCTACCTGTAGATGAAGTTGCTTGATTTACCATGAAAAACTCAAAGAACCCAGTTCTTTCTCTCCATACTCAGAGCTCATAGCAATCCATAAAGTGCTGCACAGGAGACACTCCATCAGCCTGATACTTGTGGGATACACTTGAAGGCCAGATGCTACCTTTCTGGTCTCGCTGGTTGTTTTGGGTGTGCAGGTGTGTATGCATTTAAACTGTTTTAAACTGTTGGGCTGAGTATTAGTGTCCTGGGCTGCTGGGACAAAGTTACCACAGACCAGGCAGCTTAGCCAACCGACTTATTCTCTCACGGCCCTGGAGGCAAATGCCCCAGATCCGTGGTCTGCAAACTTCGGTTCTCGAGCCACATGTGGCTCTTTGGCCCCTTGAGTGAGGCTCTTCCACCAAATACCATGGCCTGGGCCAGTCTATTTTGAAGAAGTGGCATTAGAAGAAGTTTAAGTTTAAAAAATTTGGCTCTCAAAAGAAATTTCAGTGGTTGTACTGTTGATATTTGGCTCAGTTGACTAATGAGTTTGCCGACCACTGTCCCAGACTAAGGTGTGGAAAGGGCGGGCTCCCTCTGCAGGGGCTAGTGTCCCCCTGTGGTCGCTTCTCTGCACTCACACTTCCCCTTTTCATAAGGACACCAGTCCTTAGAATAGGACCACCCTTCCTCGTATGACCTCATCTACAATGACCTTGTTTCCAAATAAGATCACATTCTGAAATATCGGCTGGTTAGGACTCCAATCTTTTTGGGGGACACGATTCATTCTCTAACAGGTTGCAGAATACGTTTGAACCAAATCCATTTATGAAGTGCTTGTCTACCTGCAAGTGCCAGGTGCTACGGGAGCTAAGAGACTAAACAACAGGCTCTTAGGGGTTTTGTTGAAGGAGAAAATATAAATATAAGAATATGAACCATATGAGTCGGAAGGAAATCAAAAGTCATAAAGTCCCGTGTAGATGAAAAGAACAGAAGGATTAAATCCAAGGAGACTGCATTTGAGCTGTCCAACCTCCGATGATTTTTTTTTTTTTTTTTACACACGGGTTAGATAGCAGTCGCCAACCGGTGGTCCGTGGACCACTGGTGGTCCGTGGGGTCCGGAAGGTTGGTGACCACTGGATTAAAATATTGTTCATATTTTCCTAAACTAATCTGGAAGTCCTAGGGATCAGTGAATTCTGATACAGCATAGGAAAAAAGACACTGCGGTTTCTTAATTGATCCACAACTCGCTTTCTGGTCAGTCCTAGGATTCTGGGGTTGGTTGTGGATGGGGGTGGGAAGGGAAATGAAGTCTCAGTAGGTGCTGGACAGCAGTTCTAAGTGCCCACTGTGAGGAATTTTCCTTTTCCTAGGCCCTTTGCCTAATGATGGTCAGCGATGGCAGTATGGAGTGGCGGTGAGAGTCCCTCTTAGCTTTAGAAGGCCTGTGCCTGAGTGGTTCATAAATACTTCTTGATTGGCTGGTAAAGCACTCGAAGAGAAGGTTCTAGTTATTATATAACACATGCTATCTCCTACTGCATTTGTATAGAGACTTCTTTAAACCTTGCAAACGGAATTATTGGTCATAGCAAGGCGCTTCTAAGGAGAGACTACCTAATGTTAATAACTTTGCAGTAATTAACGTCTGCTTTCAAAGCACGTGACTTGAAAGAAGTGGCATTTCAGTCCTGCACTGGGCTGATTCTGGGTGTGGGTTTTGGGCCCAGAGAAAGGGGGCAGTTGTAACTGCATTTGCTGGCTCACTCCACATGAAGCAAACAAACCTGAATTCCGTTTAATTGGGAAAGCCTAACAGGGTTTCTGAGAGCCACACTACACATGCTGTAGTGTTTCTGTTGGCATCACACATGTGCACACACTCGCACAAATGTTTGCACACTCACACCCGCATGCACATCTGACTGGGTTTGCAGGACAGCCGGGGGAAGGATCACGAGCTGGCCTTCGCCAGGGGCAGCTGCCGCCATGACCTCTGGAGGAATTCCACTTTTGTGCTATCCCGTGGCCTCGTT